TGTGCGGCCTTTATGTTCATGAATGGGATTGTAGTGGTGACGGCCATGCGCTCCACGCTTGTGTGTGCGCGCGTAAAGTTATATCGATGACTCAGCCTCTGTCTCTCGTTGCACTCGCGCGATATATTACGCTCCCGGGGAACGTTGAACCGCCCCCTCACCTTTTTGCATCTTTATTCTCTTCTGTTATTTCAACCGTGTTCCGTCATTTTGCTTTTTTATTTCCTTTCCTTTTTTTTTTTTTTTTCAACAAATTCGCGTCGACTTTCCCTCTTTACGATTGTCGTTTATCACGGAGGATGATAGTGACACGTCAATTTTTTTCTTTAGATTAAAATTATTCCAAAATTTGTCGATAAAACAGTGATAATATTTCACTCGACGCTGCTTTGAAAGTATATCGTGTCTTTGATGCGTTGTAGCGTGTCCCTGAACAGGGGACTGAAAAGGGGAATTAAATTCTTTCAATTTTCAAGGAATATTCGAGGTTACTAACGTTTTTACGTAATAATTCGTATCTCGAATTAAATTGTGAAGAGGTAATGAACGTATACAGGGTTAAATACTTCAAAAATTCACGCGCGTGGTATTCATTGTTCGACGACACGTGGCTCGGTTACCCTTCCAAATGTGTATAAAGTTACGAGGGCAAGGTGTATCTCTAATTACTCGAAGCGTTTGTTCTGTCAACTGTTACAAGGTGGAGGCAAAATTATTTTAATCCATTCGTAGATATCGATAGAGACGAACGAAACTGGGTGTTTCGATATCCGAGAATAGATTACGTGTTTTTTTTTTTTTAAATCTCGTTACACGAATCACGAAATGACGATTAAAAAAAAAAAAAAATTCCTTCCCCGGATCGAGGAGAATTTAAAACAAATATATATATATATATATATTATATGTATATTGGCGACTGGGCATAAATATGACCCATATTTTCTGCTTTTTACGGAAAATCGTAGCCCGATGGCTTTTTAACGATTTGTTATATAAACATCGTTATATAACGTTTCCTCGATTTTATTTCCACCGATTTTATATTCGCGAAACAATAACGCAACGGGAATTATTTTTCGCGCGACAATTAACCGTGCGCGGCTCTGCCTCGTCCCCGAGTCCCCGAATCGCCGTGTAACGAAAGGGGCGAGAAAAAGAGGGAGGGGAGAAAAAAAATGAAAAAAAAAAAAGAAAAAGAGATCGAGAGGGGGCGGGAAGAAAGGAAAACACGGGATAAAGATTAACGGGGAGGGGGACCGACCATTTTCCAAGACTAATTGCATAAACGCGCGAACAGCGTCCTCTGGAACAAACTACTTTCGTTCATTTCAGGCGACACGGCGTATATTCTCGGGCCACGCATTATCGTATTTTTCACGTAACGCGTTCACACGGCGCGGCCACGCCAATTCCGATTTGCATAACGTATGAATAATGCATACGCCTCTAACAGTAACAAACGCCTCGAATTACCGCAACGCTTGAATAGACTAGATAAATAATTGTACTAATAATAATTAATCTTCCTTTTTTGTGGATTTCCAATGTATATATATATATATATATATATCGTCTTGCCATTTTTCTTTCGATTTATTTTTCGCGATTATTGAAATGGGATAATAATGATAATAATAAAAATAAAAAAAGAGTCTTGTTCCTTTTTAAAAGTAAGAAATTTGATATTAAGTTAGATCAGAATTTTCATCGATGGATGAGACGATTCTTCGTTAATTAACGATATTTGATAATCGATCGAGGAAGCGCAGACGCGTCAAAATCCTGGGTAATTGTTCGTCGGTACGGGGAAAGTGGCTCAAAGGGGAGCCAATTAATTAAACAAACGCATCTTTTCCCCTGGTCTCGATACGAATCGAACTCGTGACCGTACCAACCCCGTCAAGCCTCCACCGTTTCAATTAACGCAAATGAGTTAGTTTCGTGATTTGATTAGTCGAGTGGCCGAGTTCGCGCCGCTTCTTTGAGATGCATAGACCCCCTAACTCGAAACTCGGTCGTCGTGGCGAGGAGAAAATGCACTTCGAACGAATCTGTCAGCGTTTCGCTTCGATTTCGATTAAGAGAATTTAATTCTCGCTCGTCCCCTCTTCGAACAATTTCGTAAAAATTCGAGCCTCCGATTTAAATCTTCGATAATTTCCAGTTTTAATTTTCAAATTTTCCAATTCAAAACTTTTCTGTTCGGTTTCAAATTCGTACAGGTTCATACACTTCCACGTTTCGCCGCTTTCGTGCAACAGCGACGTGTTTCGCGTAATCGAAATCCGCTGTGATCCCCGTTGAAGGTTCGCACGAATATCGGGGACGTGTTCCGCGAAATTCTCGCGGATTTCTTGTCGGTTGTGGCGTCGTGCGAGAAATTAGAGCCCATTCGCGTAATACCGTTACGTGACGGTACATCGCGTCCCAATCTCCACCCTTGCCTCCCGGTAATTTGGTTAACGGGACGAAAATTTGGATTATATCCAGACGGTGGGTTTACAGGAGGTACCCCCGTTCATCGCTCCACCAATTTTCTATATATCAATTTATTAATACCTTGGTGAACTCGAGTTATAAAACGATATAATTCCGTTCGCGATTTAAGGGTAATTAAATTTGCCGCGTTAAAATTGCATTATCGACCGAGGGAATCTTTCGATTTTCCCGCGCATTTTCGGTCGAGATTTATCGGCCGGTTTTGAAAAAACGGTTGGAAAATCACGGGATAGAAAATACTAGGATAGATCGGTATCTGTCGATGGTGTTCCGTTTTTGGGATAACGGGTATCAACGGGTCGAAAGAGTGGAAGCACGATATCGGGGCAGAAAGAAGTTGTAAAACGACAGGGAATTCTATTTAACGCGCGAACGATGTAAATCGTCGGCCACTAAATTTTCCGCGTATTTATTAGCCATTGCGCCGATGCGTAATGTGCCAGAACCGGGCTATTTATAAGGTAGCTATTTATCCGGCCGAGCCATTCAATTTTCGTCTTCCTCGTTCTTTTCAAACGTTGAATTTTATACACCTCGGCGGCTCATTCCGACGCCATATTGGGATTCGGTTAATTATCGCCTCCTTTGAAATTCTTCGAAACTTTCTCGTTCTTAATCGGCGCTTGCTATAATAAATATATCTATTAAAATAATACAAAATAAACTTTTTTTTTTGTTTGCGAAAAGAGAATCGTTTTCTTAAACCGTTAAAATAGATTACCATCTTCCGTATGACTATTTTTATAGCGAAAAAATGCCCCTTCCCTCCCCTCCCTCTGACATCTATAAATGAGAGAAAGCAATGATTTATGTCCTTCGTCGCCGAGCTCTATCCCATCCTTCTTTATATTTCCACCTTGATATTCGAATCGCGACGCGAGGGATGGAATAGAACTCGAATTCGAAGTTTCCACGAAAAGATAACGGAGGATACTTCCGCCACTCGGCCGATTCCGGAACGGAACGAGAACTCGATCGAGAATAGCCAACGAACGCGTATCGTTCGCAGGTTTTCGCGGGACGAAAAATTTGAACGGCCGTCGAAAACGGAGACGACGGAGGCGGCCGGTGGTAATATTGATTTCGTATTAACGAACGCCGATACACGGACGACTGGCCGACCCTCGACAAATATTACCCCTCTCGTTCGCGTTTCCACTTCGAAATCAATTTACTGCGTTTGCGGTATTACTTTCGTTCGTTAATACGATCCGAACGAAGGAAGGAAGGAAAGAAGGAAGGAAGGAAGGAAGGAAGGAAGGAAGGAGTCATCATGGGATCCAGATTTTGTCCTTTTTAGACAACTTTTCGTTTTCTTTTCGCGCTTCTATTAGCGGATAATAATTCGTTTCGTAACGTATCGTTATTTTTTAAAGGAAATACGAATGTAGTGGAATTCTTGGAATAAATTTATATGCGAATTATTGCGAACTTTTTAGACAAGGTTTATTCTTCGAAACGAGATTTGAGAGTTTCGATTTTTCTATTATTATTTTCGAGTTCAAATATTAATTAACCAAAGGTATTCGTAAGATGGCCGTAATCACAGCGGCCATCTTCTCTTCGAAACGCAACACCGGCGTTCGACAGTTTCGTGGTTCCCTCGATGTCCACGAATTTTCCCTATACCCGTTTCGATATTAGCGATCCTTCAACTTTCTCTCCCTCCCCCCCGGAAACGGGAACTTGGTCTGTTTGCACCGCCAACTTCTGGAACACGGTGAAATTAAACATTTACCCTCGGTTGCATACGCCGCGCCGTTCCATCGCGTATAAATATTTATCAGGAGTAGTTTCGCTTGTAATCCCCCGCGAAATGGATGCTACGTGAATATGAATGGCGATAATCGTGCGCACACTATTGTATACCTTGTTGCACGTAAACAGCACGTCTGTTTCATTCATTGATATCCAGCATGGGAAATCAATACGTTAAACCTGTTCAAATCGAAGGATCGTGTGCGCGCGTTGTAACATATTGTTTATCGGTGTATTCGCCCGATCGCGTGCAGCTTTAATATTCATTTCAACAATTTTCCATAAATAATATACCAAGTTTCGATCGAGGAAACCGACTCTTCGTTCCGTTGATCTTTCCAATTCTGAATTAAATTCTTTTAAATCCAGGGGTGGAAAAATCGTTTTGAGCCAAAATCGTTTTTCTGCTCGAGATTTTTAAGGAATTTCTCGACGATGAATAGCTTATACGGATCTGCGTTTCGTCTGTCGAATATTGTCAAGGAGGAGGAGGAGGAGGAGGAGGAGGAGGAGAAAGGGAAAGAATCAATCGGGGAAATATAATGGCGCGAAACGGTGGCGCGTAACGAACGAGTGGAGAACTGTTCGGTTAACAGATGCAAATGTGGATGGAGTGACTTCTTAATGGCCGCGTGTTTGCATTGTAATTGGTCGAGGGTCGAGGTGATACGGGAATCGCATAGGAGACGGCTCGACGATGCTGGAAATATTAATGGAGGAAACGTATTTCTCTGTTTCAGGTGTGATGGGGCCTCGTGGAGTCGGCTTTTACTATGAGTTGAGGTCCTGTAATTAATCGTGAGTATCCGAGTATCTTCCATCTTCTTCGTAAAATTATCTCTCCTTTGTTTCGTATTCGATCTCTCGTCGTTATTTTTCTTCTTCTTTTTTAAATAAATCGATCACCTCTCGTTATATAATAATTTCAATGATCCTCGAGTGGCTCGATCTTGGAGAACGATCGAGGCGCGGATTCCGGATCTCGAATGAAAATTGCCATCGATCTTGAGAATAATAGAGACTTTTAATTCTTCAATGGGATTATTCCCATCTTATTAATAAGGAATTTCAATTTTCCTCGAGTAAAATGTTCGAGCTAATGTTTATTTACGTGTTGTTATATACATGCTCGTCGAGATCGAACGAAAGGTAATTTACGCAATGATCGAAGCGTTTAGCTTCGAGAGAGAGAGAGAGTCAAGGTCCACGGTATTGCGGTGATCCAAGTTCACGGGGATCGTGAACGTCCAACCGAGCGAACCTTTCTCCTCGCCCTTGAATTATGCGCACAACATCGAACCGCGCTGCGTAATTATCGGTTCGAGAGCTCGGTATTGTTCCTCCTGTTTGACAATGACGAACGGCGTCTTGATTTGCTTTCTCTCTTTCTCTCTCTCTCTCTGTTTTCTTCGATCTATATAATTGTTATCTTATTGCGTAAAATAGTAGAATACGAAATTAAAAATTTCGAATCGCGCTTACGAAGCTGAATGAAACGTATTTGTAAAATTAAAAAGTTAGGGACGCGCGTTCCAATGGCTCGTTCCAAGATTTTTCACGTGGCAAAGCGAAAAAGAGAAAAGAAAAGCCGAATCATTGTCACCGCATCCCCCTCTTTATATATTTCAGACGAGAAACCCTCGTCTCGTCTCGTCTCGTCGAGCCAAATCCAAACCTCGTTTCGCTTACGGAACGAGCGTATCTGGTCCGCTGCTGGCGCACGCACGATCGCTCATAATCGCAGGTAACTACTACACGGAGAAACAGAGAAACGGAGAGAGATGCCGTGCTCTCACACAGGCCAGAAACGGGCGCTCTCCACGGAACCGGATCGCGCGCGTGTGTGTGTTATGCGCGATACACGCAGAGAGAGAAAGAGCGAGAGAGAGAGAGAGGCGAGTGGAAGCGTAGGAAAGTCCCTGTTAGCGACGCTCTATAGCATCCATATAACCGTCGTATTCGTGGCAGTTAGGGGGTGCACGCGGAGCGAGAGAAGGAGAAAGATGGATAGAAAGGGAGGGAGGATGGTAAACGGACGGAGGAAGACGGAGGAACGCGCGATAGCGAACGGGCGAGAGAGAAACAGAGAGAGAGAGACGGAGCAAGATATAGATAGAGCGCGAAAACGATGGAGCAACGGTGGAGAGAGGGAGATAGAAGTCGAGGGATGGTTTTGCTCCGGTGGCTCTGTATTGATTGCTACTCCTCCTCCGCTTCCACCGCCTCCTGCGACCACATCTCTCTCTCTCTCTCGCTCGCTCGCTCGCTCGCTCGGTCCCTATCTCTCGCTCTCGCTCTCCGGTCGCCCGTGTGCTCTCCAAGCGTTGCCTGTATATTTCTCCTTCTACGCGTACCTGTCTCTCTTTTTTTTTCCTCCCTTTTTCCGCGCTCCCTCCCGCACCGCCACCCTTCGTTCCATCTCCGTCACCCTCCACCGCCTCTCCGCGACTCTCCATCTCCGTCCTCCTCCCCTCTGTCGTTTCTCCGCCCGCCCGTTCTCGCCGGCCCGCTCCTCTCTCGGACCCGCACACCAACGCACCTCGTAACCGTCGCCTCTGCAAAGCGAAACCATCAAGATCCCGAGGTCCTCTCCTTGCCACGTATATATATATATATATATATATAACCAAGTTCCTCCTCCTGCTTCTTCCAATCTTCTCCTCGTCTCGACGCGACTCGTTCCTCTTCTTCTTCTATCTTCCTCTCTCGCCTCCTTCCTCCTCTCCCCCCGAGGAGAGGAGAACCGGCCAAGTTCGTCTGTAATTGACGCAGATGCGATGGAGGGTAGAGGGGGAAGGAGAGAAAGAGAAAGAAGGAGAGAGAGCGGTGACAGCGGGTTCGACGACGGCGGAAGCGCAATTCTTTGCGCTCCGCGTGGAAATTGATCGAAGCGGAGCCGATGGCGGGCGTAGAGAGGCGAGGGAATGGAGAGGTGTCCCTGGCATCCATGGTGTTGGTGTACACGAGAGATGGACTCGTTACACGGACGATAACGAGAAGAAGTTTTCTCTCGCGTTAACCGCTTTTTCTCTCTCCGCGGAGAAAATTCGTCGTGAATTCACGACGCAGATCACGGTTTTTTTGATCGGTTGAAGAGAGAAGAATTCGGCAGCCTCGCGATGTATACATATATATATATATATAACAAGTCTAAATAGGAAATCGAGTTACCTTTTTTTTTTTTTTTGCAAGCTTTAGAGAATTTATTTCTCTTCCATTTTGGAATTATGTGTTATGGTTTATATATATACCATGAATTTCGTGATCGAGATGGGTCGTAAATTAAGATTGTGTACCGTTTAAATCGTATTTTAACTGTGCATAAATATAAATACCGTTAACCCTCTACGGGTTACCATTGTTGAACAACGCACTCGTATACGGCACACGTGTGTATATTCAATATATACAACGCGGTCGTAAATTAAATCCTTTCGACAACAAAAGATTTTCGGAGAAATTGTCACGCGTTTCGAAGTTAATTGTTAAAGAAGGTCGAGTTTACCGAATTCTCGCAAGGATCCTCCTAGAAAATTTCGATTCGTGATTTCTTCTTATCCTATGATCACCGATCACCGAAGGGTTAAACTCGTTGAACAAAGATTGGATAATCCCCGTTGATCAGCGATCCATCGGGAAAACGATATCGTGTCAACAAGAAGAGCGAGCGGTGTTTTCTTTTTGTTCGATTTATCTTCTTCACTTTTTTTTTTTTTCTTCTTTGCATTGTATCATATATGTATACGAATACGAAACGGAGAATGAAATCTTTGTTATCGTTGTTTGAATCTTTTTAAATCCAATATTACGTTACGTTTTTCTTCTTTTTCTTTTTTTTTCGGCAAGAAAACGCTTCGATACGAAAATTAATTATTCATCGTCGAAAACTTCTTAATCGCCTCGATTCATCTTTTTATCGTCGCGAATATTTTCGATAAAAGTTCAATTTCTATTTAAAATTCCATTTATTCGAACCCGATTCGAGGTTGAGAATCGATTATTTTTTTTTCTCGTTAAATTTTATTTTTACAAAATTTCATGCAAAATTCTTTCGTATTCATTTCTTGTATAATAGTCGCTCGAATGAATTTCAATAAGATTGCACCATTTAATTCGTTGGTATTTTTCAATTTTATCGAAGAAACTTACGAATGTTTGCATTTCTAAATTTTTGTTTAATATCTCTCCAATAAACAGCATCAATTTTAGTCATTGACCAAGTTTAACTTATATTAATCTTTCTTAATCAGAATATCACGCGTAATTTAACGTCAGCAATAACAATTTTTCGTTAATTCGTATTGAAAAAAAAAAATGATTTTACATTCAAAGTGACGAAAATGTTAATTTATCGATGACAATTTTGGAAATTCGTCCAATTCGAAATTAATCGTTCTTCAACGAGCTAACTACGAATAAATTCCATTGTATTTAAAACAAACGAAGAATAAGGAGAATTCGAATTCACGTCCAAGAGAACGATGACTCGCGTAATTTAACGTCTATGACAATTTTTCCTTAATTCCTACTGAAAAAAAAAAAAAAACCGATTCTATCCTTCATTCGAGGAATGAAATAATAACGAATAAAAGTTTTCACTATACTTACCATCGGTGACAAATTCTTTTTCCTTGATTATGGAAAAACATCGATTCTAAATTCGTCGAATTTCCAAATAACTAACGACGAATAAATTCCTTCTTGGAAAGAGAACGACGAACGAATTCAAATCACTGGATCCAAGAACCTGGAGCACGCGTAATTTAACCTCGATGGCGAACGAAATTTCCTTGACACACACCGGGGTCACCTCGAAATTGACACCTGTCACGTTCACCTGCGTTCGGCCATCGTGCGTTGCATCGCGATACCATCGCGAAACAATATCATCGTTTATTGATTGATCGAAGCCATCTACAACCAGGATTGTCCCCCTCCTTCCCCCTTCCCTCTGCCAATTATCACAGACCTTCCTTCCTCCCTTCTCCTCTCGGTTTCTTTTTTTTTTTCCTTTTTTTTTTTTTTTTTTTTTATTATTATTCGCAGTGACAGTTTTCCGGTATTCGGGAAATAAAGCGATACGACGACGCGTATCGACGTTTCCTGGAGGCGTTTTTTCCTCCCCCCCACCCCAATGGGTCTCGACTTTTATGGGGGAAACGCGCGTCCCCTTCCCCCCCTCCCCCCGTCCTCCCTTCTCCCCAAAAAAATTGTTGTTTCACAGTCGATCGTAGTTTGATCCGTGTCAGTTACAGGTTACAGGATTCTTGATTCGAGATGGAAAAACAGATGCGTTTTGTATGCGAGAGGCAATCGAGGGGGATTATAATAAAAAAAAAAAAAAAAAAAAAA